AGGCCACACAGACAGGCCACATGGACAGGCCACGTGGATGGGTTACATGGACAGGCCACACAGACAGGCCACATGGACAGGCCACGTGGATGGGTCACATGGACAGGCCACACAGACAAGCTACATGGACAGGCCACGTGGACATGGACAGGCCACACAGACAAGCTACATGGACAGGCCATGTGGACATGGACAGGCCACACAGACAAGCTACATGGACAGGCCACGTGGATGGGTTACATGGACAGGCCACACAGACAGGCCACATGGACAGGCCACGTGGACAGGCCTTGGCACAGCTCCACATGCAGCCAATTAGCAAACAAGGGCAGTACCCAAAGACAGTGCCCAGAGAGTGAGCAGCCTGTCTAAGAGGAGGGCGCTGGAGCAGCTCACCCAGGAGGGCGAGGAGTGGGGCAGGATCCAGGTATTGTGGCCCTTCAAGCTGGTTTATGTGGACAGCCCCACTTATGGAGGGCATCATTAAGCATAAAAGAAGACAACACAAACCCAGGAGCGTGGGCAGGAAAGGCACCTTGCAGCTGGAGCTTCATTAGCTGCTTGGCCCACCGGCCTCAGCTGGAGAGGGCTAGATTTAATGAGCACACCAGTGGTTGTTTTTAAAGAAATCTAAAGGCAGACGGAGCTGACTCATTCTTGGCAGCTCCAGAGGAAAGAACAGAACCAGAGGGCTTGCTTTGAAGGGCTATTCCTGACAACCTGTAGTGGGAAGACCAGCGCACAGAATGAGCAAGTCGCACTTCTCCAGGTATGTCTGGATGGAGACTGGACCCCGTGGAGAGCTCCCGTGCCTTGTAGAGAAGGTGCACTTGATGAGGGGTTCTGCCTTGTGCCCAGCAGCTCCCGCGGGTGCTTGAGGAATAGCACAGGCCCCTGCCCTTCAGGCAGAATGGTTCTTTAGTTTGTAAGCCTCAGTAAGTCTTCAACAGTCCCAAGAATTTTACTTCTTAAAGAGACAGGGAAAAACAAGATGAAGAAGATGGAGAAAGAAGGGACGCTTTGAAAATGACCAGAACCTAGGATCTCAGCCCCTGTGCTTATTACTGTTCTCATCTCCTGTTGAGCCTGGCAGATCCCAGGGGCCACCAAAAGAAAGCCACCCACAGCTTTGCCATTCCTCACCTTAGTGTGAGTAGTGTGGGTGTGTGCACACACAGCACTTCCTGCTACAAACTGACCTGCTAGAACACACAGCGCTTCCATCCCTCTCAACTTGAAATAGCTCAAAGCAAGCAGTGGGACAGTCTTCCTGAAGACCACACGCCCTGTGCAGCGCCACATCGTGGATTTGCAGAAGCACGTGATGTGCTCTAGAGAGCAGAGACCACGACACTTCTTACTCCCTACAGGGCTCCACGGCCATTCATTTGGCAGCTTCTGTGAGCGACTTAAGCACAACGTGACATTTAGGGCCAGCTGGTTGCTGAGGTGGATGGGAGAAGACTAATCTTGCTGCAGTTACGACAGCCTTCTTGATGAAAGTAGGTTTCAACGGGTTGTTGAAGTCTGAATTGTATTTCCTCTGACCGCTGCAGGGAGGCACAGGATATCCAAGTGGAGTATGATAAATAAGTCCTTTTCAATCAAATAATAGTCTTCAATTTAATAAAAAAAAAAAACAGGTGCCAATCATGGCAAAGTTTAAAATTTGAGAACTCAGCAGCTATTTTTCATACTTTTAGAAAGCATTCTGGTTACTGTGTTGGACATTCTACATGTATTATCTTAAGTCCTGTGAAAATCTTACAAAGTAGAAACAAGCTGGTATCATCCTTGTTTTGAAAACTGAATTTTAGAAAATTTTACCAACTTCCCCACTACTTTACAGTTGCTAACTAGAGGGACAAGTTCTCAAATATTTGCTGATCTGGCCTAAAAGCAAATGCTCCTAAATACTAGATTTTTGAAAGAATATAGAATATTATGAATAATTGTACCAGAAATTTTAGCTATTATTAATGCTACCATAGTAATATATTACAGTCTCTCACTATGCTAGCATTACATGTAAATTTGTAGAATGCATAACATTTAAAAAATTTTAAATTTAAGTTCTGGCATAAAGATTTTTTTAAGGTATATACAAGTTTTCCAAGAAGCTGACATAATAATTTCGCAATAATTGCATTAAGGGAAATAAAAAGTTTATTAAGGAAAATTTCTCATGAGAGAAAACAGAGAATGCTGAGGAGGTTTGCAAGAATGGGGACAGAGGGGCGCGGTCATACCCTGAGGTTAGTAGAGAGGGAGAGAAGGCACCCCGATTCGAGGCATCCTGGCTCCCCATACAGGGTAAGAAAAGTTTGATGTCAGCATCAAAAAGTCCTTGAGCCACACACAGACAGACATTAGAGAAGTCCGCATTCCCCAAGAGGTAGCTTCTTACCTTCAGCCTTGACACAAAATGCCAAGGCTCTTCAGAAGGCAGTGGCTGAGGCCCGAAGCACAGCTGGAGGTCAATGAGATAACTTCTCATGGTCACTGGCTCACGATGATTAGAGAAATCTCGTACTGAATGCCTACCAATGCCCCCTCCGTGGAGACCCCGTGCGTACTTCTCTTTTGAGCTTGTGGGTATCTCTATGCTGTAGCTGTTGCAATGGATGTCTTTGATTTTTTTTTTTTTTTTTTAGTGTGTTTGCAGTATGTGCTGTTCACATTCATCACAGGGGCTGGGTACCTGGACCCCACATATCTGGATTCTTTTTGTTCCCCTTCCCTCTGTGCCCACTTCCCTCCTACAACCTTTAAGTTTCCTTTCCTCATTTTCATCTTTATTTTTTAGTTCATGTTGATGACACATAATGATTGCATTCATTGTGTATAGTTTGTACGTGCAGCTGATGAAGGAATAGTAGATGCATAGAACCCTTTGCTCGGGGGCTCTAGGTGGAGTTTGTTAGCCTGCATGCAGACACTGACGGACCGTGGGGCTTGGGGAGGTGGGCGTTACGGCTGGGCAGGAAGGTGGGGCTCAGCTGTGAATGTCAGGGTGAGATACTTTAAATTTATTTTGTCTCATGGAGGAGCTAAAACCAGAATGAAATTGAATTGACATTTGAATTCCTTTCTGATGCAGGCATGATATGGGCTGAATGTAAGGAAATTTGGACTCAAGGCCCTAAGGAATACCTATTTGAGCTGTGGAATATGCTGGATTTTGGCATGTTAGCAATCTTCGCTGCATCATTCATTGCAAGATTCATGGCTTTTTGGCACGCGTCCAAAGCTCAGAGCATTATTGACGCAAATGTTACTCTGAAAGACCTGACAAAGGTCACGCTGGGCGACGACGTGAAGTACTACAATTTGGGTGAGTGTGCATGGCGCAGGCTAAATAAGTTGATAGGAACACAGAATTTTCTTGTAAAAGAGTTGTGAGTAGTAGTTTAGTGACTGCCCAATTCTCACGAAAGTTTACATTTCATATATCTTTATTTGAAGAATGAGTATCTGTATCTGAAGAATCGTACTTTTTGCTCTTCCTTCTGACTTATCTGCCAGCTGGGAACCTCTCTTAATCATGAGAATCATCTTTGTCTTGGATCAATTCCCTAACTGTGAAGCTTCATTGAGAATGCCGATCATATATCTTCAATCTACTTGCTTTTCAAAGGCCGGTGAGACAGCTCAGCAGACTAAGTGCCTGCTTAGGCAAGTGCAAGGACTGGGGTTCAGTCCACCTGTGGTGCTGGCCCTGCAGCTGGGGGTGCTGAGCTGGCCACTGAGTCCGGGTGTGGTGGTGAACACCTATAATCCCAGCACTGGGGAGGCTGAGACAGGAGGATCACTATGAGTCTGAGCTGCATTGTGAGGCCCTGTACCAAACACATAAAAGATAAATAAATCAGCTCACATTTCAAACATTTCTATACAATAGAATATTACTCAGCTTTTATAAAACAAGGGAGGCATTCAGCTACATTCTGTGAGTGAAACAAGCAAGTCAGAGAGAAGCAGTGCGATCCCACTTATGTGTGCGATCTAGAAGCAGACTCACGGAAGAACCAACTGGTGGCAGCTGGCAGGCGCGCACAGGCAAGGGCCAGTGCTGCCCAAGGACTACGGTTTCAGTTAGACAGGAGCAAGCTTTGCTTTCTGCTGGACAACGTGGTGACCACGGTCATGCATAACGTACCATATACCTGAAAAGTTGCCTAGAGTTTAGGGTCTAAGTGTTCTCACCATACCCCAAAAAAGTGTATGGGAGGTCAGGGCTATACTAATGAGCTTATGTCAGTCACTGTGAAATATCACATTTCATTCCATAAATATAGTTTTTAGAAATTCACATTAGAGCACTACTTCCGTATAAGACATTAGAAAGCAAAAGGAATTGTTGAGGTTTCAGAAAAGACTTGTAAGGGCTGGCCAAATAGCTCAGGGGGTTGAAGTGCCTGTTTAGGCAGAAGCAGCAGCCAGAGTTTGATCCCTGGTGTGCTGTGCCAGCCCAGCCCTCGGGGCGCACTGAGAGGGCAATTGAGACTGGGCGTGGTGGTGAGTGCCTGGAATCCCCGCACTTGGGAGGCTGAACACAGGCGGATCACTATGAGTCCAATCTATGTAGTGAGACCCTGTAGAGGCTGTGCTAAAACACAGACAGACAGACAGACAGACAGACAGACAGACAGACAGGACTTCTAAGAGAAACAACACTGTTTGTCAATCAGGCTTTGAATATTTGAGAAACAAAAACATTAACATAGAAGCAAGACCATCACTTCTAATACTGATGAAATTAGGGTGAACAACATAGGTCGAGGGCTATTGGCCAATGCGATCAGTAATGTCAAATCTCAGAATTAGAGAGCCTTCTTTGCCAGTGTCCTAAGAACAGTCCTCCCAAGGAAGGGGATGGAAGCTCGTGCCCACGCCCACGAGAAGGCTCTACACAGGCCCAAAGAGGAACAGGCTAATCTGACCCAGTTAGACTCAGTCAGTCATCTCAGTTTAGTGACCAGGTACGCATTCTAAGTCCCCTACCTTTCCAAAGTGGCAAAGGAATAGAAATAGGCCCAGCCTTTTGCTTAAAGAAAATACCTCCGAGCCGGGGTGGTGGCGCATGCCTGTAATCCCAGCACTTGGGTGGCTGAGACAGGAGGATCACTGTGACTGTGAAGCCAGCCTGAGCTATATAGCAAGATCTCACCTCTGAAAACAAAACAAAACGAAACAAAACAAAACAAAAATAAAACGCCTCCACTAAAAACTTGGCTTGGAGAAAATACAATCCTGTGGATATTCATCTCAAACTTTCTGATAAGAAATGAGTTTACATTCGGTTAACACCTCTGTGGCTCAGCGACTATATGACATAAGCACCTTTTACCATGATTGTTTAGTAGTACGCGTTTGCAGCTCATCACTTACATTCCTCCTGGCGAGTAGGCGCACGTACAGAAGACAGTTTCTTTTTTTCTTCTTTGGCCCATTCCCTCTCCCCTCCCTTCCTCCTCCTCTAAAGTCCCTCTGCCACTTTCATTCTTGCTATTAGTGTTGTTAGGAGCTCACGTTTGTGCCACGTGACGGTCCCCTTCAAGGTGGGCGCTGGCGTCTGTGCGGGGCGCGTTTCCTATTTCCCGCTTGCCCCTTGTCCCCGTCATCTCCGATCTCCTGGGCGCCTTCACAATCACAAGAGAACTGCGTTTCCTTCTCCTCGCTCTTTATTATTTTCTTTACGTGCACTTTGTCTTGCTCAAATGGAAGATGCTGCCTTATTAATTTCTAGTATTATTTAAATATTTTTAAGGTGAAGGATATTTCTTGATAGATAATACTAATAATAGATAATACTAGACTTGGAAGTGTTATAAAAAGGAAAGTGCATTAGTTATAATTGGATGTGTTGGGACAGCCTTTCTTCTTGGACTAAAAATAAATAAAAACATGCATTATTAGCTTCTTGTTTTCCTTTCCTAACTCTACTGAGCAAATAAACAAATACAAATTTATAATTATGCTTTTCCTTGCTCTTCCATGCTGTTTTGCATTTTCTTCATAATGCTTCTTAATTGAGATTTTGGTGAGCTGATATAATAATGCCAGAAAAATCCACAAATGAATTGTTACATTTTTGCAGTAGATAGATTTGAGGGACTGATAAAAGAATTTCAATAAATTTAAGTAACTGGTAGTGCTCCACAAGCCCCATATTGCATTGTAGTGTAATTATAATTTAAGTTTAAATAATAAATGCTATAATTTATTAAATACAAGAGACTTTCTGAATCCTGACCATAATGTACTTACTTAATTCTCACAAATGAGAAAGATGGGAACTGTATTATCTCATGTGTAAAGAAGGAAATAAAAACTAACAGAAGTAATTTTCACGTTATAATTTTTTTCTTTCTTTCTTTCTTGGGCGCAGGGTCTCACTACCTAGTTCAGTGTCATGATCCTCCTGTCTCAACCACCCCCACCCTGGCATTACAGGCATGTGCCACCATGCCCGGTTTTGGGCCCAGCATGGCATGCCCCTCTGGGGATTGAACTCGGGTCTTTGTGCTTGAGACGCAGGTGCTTAGACCTCTGAGCTATCTCCCCAGCCATGCACAAGTTATTTTAATTGAGACATATCTATCAATATAGATACAGTAGCTGATGAAACAATCTACTGGAAATTTTGTAGCTTGTAGTCTGTAGTGTGAATTTTTAATATTATACCATACCTTTATGGAAAATTGCTATCAAACTGAAAAGGTCATCCTAATAAATTTATAAACGTCCACAAATTCAAATACAGCTGACACTAAAAAGGGAGTTTAGAACAACTGCCATTTGTGAAGTGAATTACCAATATGATTATTTACATTTTTATTAGAAAAGAAGTTACCTAAATGAGAAACTTCAATAAACTGACCGTAACTCTTGTCTTTTTTTCCTAGCCAGGATAAAGTGGGAGCCTTCTGATCCTCAAATTATCTCTGAAGGCCTTTATGCAATTGCTGTAGTTTTAAGTTTCTCCAGAATAGCTTATATTTTGCCAGCAAATGAAAGCTTTGGACCTCTGCAGATATCACTTGGAAGAACAGTAAAAGATATCTTCAAGTTCATGGTCATTTTCATCATGGTGTTTGTGGCCTTTATGATTGGAATGTTCAACCTCTACTCCTACTACATCGGGGCAAAACAAAACGAAGCCTTCACAACGTATGTGATCTCAGACATGTTGGCAGTGGAGGTTGCAGACTAAACACGTATTCACTGAACAGGTTCAGATAAGCTCGTGCTTTGGTAAAGACTTTCTCTCAGATTACTCTTCAGGATCTTAAAATGAGTTGGGAAAACTCTAAAACATAGGAACTTTCCTAATATTAAAAAATAATAAGGGCCAGAGAGATAGCACAGTAGAATAAGCACCTGCCTGCAAGCACAAGGTCCTGAGTTCAATCCCCAGTACTGCAAAATAATAATAATAATAAAATAATAAAATAAAATAATAGCAAATTTTTAGAGCTAGACAATTCATAGCGCCTTTCACGCACATCTTCATTACCTACATTTCACCAAAGGAAGAAACACATTCACAAAAGTCAAATCATGCGCTGAGCGCTCCACAGCTGCCGGTCTGTGGAAAAGCCCATGTACAGTCCACTTACTGATGGCATCTGCCGCCCTAAGACGCCCTCCTTCTGCTGAAGCCCGCGGACGTGAGGAGATGCTCTGCTCGTTCACTTCATCGGGCTTCGTCACTGAAGAGGTTCACGTTACCCGCAAGACAAGAGACCAGACTTAACATTCACTGCGGGCACCTGTGTACTTAATCACTTGTGCGTGGAGGAAATTATTCAAGTGCTAGGTCTTCAGTGTTCCGAGTTGTAGCAACAGAAGCACAACCTATTGCTTTTCTTGTTCATTTCAAGTGCTATTTTTCAGAGAAATGAAACGGCATGGGGTTAAGCAGTTGGGTTTAGCTCTGGTAAATAATTGTGCCCAAGGGATTGCAATTCTTGCCTAAGTCACGTTAGTGACTTGGGTAACACTGTCTATTTTATATCATCATTTTCACTCTTAAGATACACGCAGTTAGTTTCTCCTTATTAAATATGACATGTATAGAAGAGCAGAAAATGTGAAAACTCTTTCTCCACACATTGTAATTTATTAAGTAATAATAATAAATGATCTATTTCATTACTTACTACATACTATGTTCAACATTTCTCTTGCCAAGCCATGGATTTTTTACATGTGAGAACCTGTGATTAGGAAGCTACGATGTTGTGGCGCAGCACCAGCTGAGTACTTAATCTGGGCCAGATGTTGAGCTGTGTGCTTCATTTGCACAATCTCTGCTACCTTATCTTTGAAACAATCCTAGATATAAGTGTTACTGCACCCATTTTATGGGACAGAAAATGAAGGTTCAGATGAGGAAAGAATTTTGTCATGAATATCTGGTAATTTGCAAAAATGTTAAGTCAAATGAACTTTACTATGGCACTATATTTGTATTTATATATTTTCTTATTTCTTTTATTTTCCCCTAGAGTTGAGGAGAGCTTTAAAACACTGTTCTGGGCCATTTTTGGACTTTCCGAAGTGAAATCAGTGGTCATCAACTATAATCATAAATTCATTGAAAACATCGGCTATGTCCTTTACGGAGTCTATAATGTCACAATGGTCATTGTGTTATTAAATATGTTGATTGCAATGATCAACAGTTCCTTCCAGGAGATCGAGGTATAATCTCTATTGATTTTCGTAGCCTGTGCTTATGTGTAGCTACGTGTTGTAGTTATTCCAGGGAGAGACAAACAGTGGGACTCAGCATTACTGCTATCTCTCCTGTCTTCTTTCCCTCTTTTATACATGTACTTGCCTGACCAATAGCCCATGCAAATTTAATGCTTTGCTATAAATACAAATGGGGAGTATGGACACTTAGGCATAGGAGCAGAAATGTTTGATTCATTGTTTTAAAAACTTTAGAAACATTGTATTTTAGAAATATAATCATTTTCATTCAAACAATACTGATTACAAATAACTCTTAAGTCCAAATCTTGGCTGAGAAATGTTCAAGACTGACCCTTTGTCAAGTAGGGGGTGATAAATAAATGGGTATTGTAGAATTCTTAGTCTGTATCCAGAATGAATGAGTGATTTATTATAGAACAAAATATAACTTCACAATTTTTAAATGTAGGAAAGTACATTAATGTTTTAAGTACATAGATAAAAATAGAGGCAAGTTTTAAGATCTGTAGTCTAGAAACCCAGGTAAAAATTTAAATGGTTATAGGAATGAGTGAGTACAACCTTGACACCTGGGAGTAGCCGTCAGCGTCTGAGGTTTGCCGGCACCGCTCCCTCTGGCTAGCCAGTGCTAGGAGCGCCTCCCGATTCTACTGATGCATTTCCTTGCTGAATGATCCTGTGTATTCATACAGGACGATGCTGATGTGGAATGGAAATTTGCAAGGGCCAAACTTTGGTTTTCTTACTTCGAAGAGGGAAGAACTCTTCCTGTTCCCTTCAACCTCGTGCCAAGCCCCAAGTCCCTCTTGTATCTCTTACTGAAATTTAAAAAATGGATTTCAGAGCTGTTCCAGGGCCATAAAACAGGTTTCCAAGAGGATGCAGAGATGAATAAGGTAATTTAGTTTGATGATTTATAGTTATTTTCTTAAATATTGTGACCACTGTCCTGTTATCACCAGGCTGTCTATGAGAGGTCTCCGAGGCTGAAAAATGGAACCTGTCACCCCACGGTTTTGTAGCATCCATTTGCAGGTCTGTTGACTCCCACTGTAGGAAAAGAGTTCTCAGGACCAGTCAGTAAGAGGCCTGAGGATTCGTTAAGCAGAGATTTTAGGGTGCTCTCAAGAGTGAGGGGTGGAAGCTCAGAGAGAGGAAACATGTTATGAGGGACAGCTGGGTATATTTCTGAGGTACTTGGGGTGTTCTCCTGATGGGTGATCCAGGGTGTGTTTTCTGAGGGCCCGTCAGGCCACCTGTCTGGCCAACTACATCAGTGCAGAACATTCACATGTATTGGCAGTCGGCATGTGTCATTCGCTAGTACTGCTACTTCCTTGACAGGGAGGAAGCCCAGTTTACAGGGGCAAAGGACAGGTCCAAAGCCTCGTTTACAGGCTTATTGTGTCTTTAAGACATTTAGGAATTTTTTTGGGGGGAGTGAGTTTTCTAGAGAGGAAAAAGGCCTGAGTAATTTTGGTGTCCTGGCGCTAAAGTGTTTTAAAGCACAACTTTAAAGGCTCGGTGGTCTCATCTCCTTTCTGCCTAGTTCTATTTCTTTTGTTCTTCCTTACACTGGCCACTACTTTTCAAAAGCAGTGGTCTCTGGTCACGTGGCCACTGTCCTCTGATGCAGTGATGTTGCATCCCTGGACGCATTGGATATTGTCTACTTAAAGTATAAGAAAAAGTCATGAAATGAAACAAATTATGCATTATCCGAGTGCACGCTGCCTAGGAAAGCTGCGTGGACCCAAGTGTCTGTGCTTGTGGCTACACGGTCCCCATTTCGCCATCAATTTGTAGAGCCAAGTAAAACATCAGTCACGGCTTATGGCTGGTAGGGAGTTGGCCAACTCGACTACTCCGTCATGAAGTTCAGAAACCAGCTGTCCCATCTAGCTTGCGAGAAGAGGGGCTAAAGATACTTCCTATACAAGGAAATGCCTGGAGAAAAGGCAGTCTCAGAACCCATGAGGGAGCAATGGTGCCGAGATGAGAGCTGCGGGGCCTACGGCATGCTTGGAGCATCAAGAGTGCTGTGGACGCTGCATGCAGTGGGGTGGCAGGGACAGCTTACCTGTCCAGGTATCTCTGCTGGGTGCAGCGCACCATGCCCAGGAGGAGCGCTGTGTCAGGAGGAGGAGCAGGAGAACTGGGGTTCAATGGGGGGCTGGCTGTGCCTTCCAAGAAAGGAATATTGAAAGAGAACAATAATGTATTAACATACTCACTTTATGAGAAGTCCACAGTGTCATAAAGAGCCAGGTGGGGATGGAGAGGTGGAGGGATGGGCAGAGAAGGAAGGAAAGGGATTTTTTAGAAAGAACTGAAGTGCTACATGCGTGTACCTACTCCCCATGGGGAATGAAATCATTATGTACCATAAATATATAGTAATAAAAATGAAAATAAATTAAATTTAAAAAATGAAATATCCACTTCTTAAAAAATGTATTTAGCACAGGGTCTATAGGGCCTCACGACACAGATCAGACTCATAGTGATTCTCCTGTTTTCAGCCTCCCAAGCACTGGAATTACAGGAATGTGCCACCATGCCTAGTCTCAGTCACCAACTCAGCATACCCTGGGGTTGAGCAGGCACGGCAGGCTGGAGATCAAAGCCCAGTCCCTGACTCTGCCTAAGCAGGCACTTTAATCTGCTGAGCTATCTGGCCAGCCCTGAAATATCCACTTTTGATTAGAGAGTTCACTTAATTTTTGTTTCCTCAAAAAATAGGAAAGGTATGGACTGAATTTATACATAGTTCAATTTTGGTTTCTGGGAGGAACAGACTCGCAACAACGAGATCTGCTCAGTGGAGCAGTAAACGGTCTACACAGTAAGGAGCTCCCTATAGCTAGATAGTCCGTACATGCTGGTAATCGACGCTAGAAATTTGTTGATGATCCTCTTTCCCATACCGGATGGGATTTAAAGCAAATGATTATGAAGTTATCTTGCAATAATAAGATTCTATCACTGAATGAAGGGGAAGCCTGTCCCAATCACTGCTTTGTTTGACATGTTGTGCTTGATTAGTCAAGGAAGTAACAGCTCTCTGACATAGCATCCTCCACTTAGCATAGGAATAAAGTTGTACCTGCATCATAAGGATCACATCAAGGGCCAGCCAAATAGCTCAGCGGATTAAAGCACCTGTTTAGGCAGACTCAGGGGCCGGGAGTTTGATCCCCAGGCCTGCCGTGCCAGCCCTGCCTCCTGGTCATGCTGAGAAGTGATTGAGATTGGGAGTGGTGGCATGCACCTATAATCTCAGCACTTGGGAGGTTGTAAACAGGAGGATCACTACGCAGGAGGCCAGTCTACGCAGTGAGACCCCGTACACCCTGTCCTAAATTAAAAAAAAGTCAGATCAAATAAACGTGTAAAAGTATGTTGAGAATTCCAAAGCCTTATTTGGTTGTGTATTTATTATGTATTTGGTACAGGGTCTCACTATGCAGCTCAGACTCATAGTGATCGTCCTGTTTTCAGCCTCTCCAGCACTGGGATTACAGGCGTGTGTTACCACACCTGGTCTTGGTGGCCCATCTGGAACCATGTGGAGGATCAAACCGGGGTCCCTGTGCTTGCCTATGCAGGTGCTTAGTCCACTGAGCTATCTAGCTGGCTCACCAAAGCCCTATTTAATATAGTTATTATTATAAATGTTTTATAGGAATTTTCAAATGATATGCCACCTATATTATCCTTACAAATATATGACTTATAGGAGTCAATGGGTTAAGTAGAGAAAAATTCTCTTACTTTACTTAATATAGTTTACTATGAATATTTTAGATCTTATTAGAATTGCAATCTAAAAGAATTTGATAGCCAAAGGAGATGCTCATATACTTGCCAAAGGGAAGAAACTAACAAAAATGTTTCTGTCATCAAAACCTCCGGGGGAATTGCCATGTGACTGTATTCATCTTATTATCTCTCTTTAAAAGAGAAAAGAAGAAAAGACATTTGGAATTTGGGGAAGTCATGAAGACCTTTCAAAATTATCAGCTGACCAAAAACAGGTAAGATAAGATTTTAAAATAAAAGCCATACATGAGATCAGCATGGTCCCAGAGAGCGGTCAGTGTTCATATGCAATGGAAAAATTAATAACTTTCTGATTCCCAGTACCAAAAAAAAAAAAAAAAAAAAAAAAAAAAAAGCTAACAACTGCTATTGAAAGGTAGAAACAAGCCTCTATCCAATTAGTGGAAAAGAATCATGTGTGTATTTAAGACTTATGTTGAGCACTTATTGGTTATGAGACACACAAGCAAGTAGAGTTCTGTGGAAGGAAAATTTAAGAGAGGAATCTCTCAGGGACCTGCAGGAGGATCTGAAGAACTTAGCCCTGCATTTGGGTGGAGAGCGCACAGAACCAAATGTCGCATTTGTCAGTAATCAAGAGACTGTCGGAAGAGGCACTGTTCCTAGTAAATGCTGTGTCCTAGTGATGGGTCCTTTTGCTGACTTAGAGAAGCAAAATCCTCAATGAGGAGAGTGTTTGCTTCCCTTTTTGTTGCATATACCAGTAGCTGTACACTAAATCTTAAAGGAAATCGGAAGTGAATGAATTATTGGATAAAGATTGTGCTCAGTTGCACGTAATTAGAAACCCAGACCACAGTGGTTTAAACAAGACACTTATAGTTATGTCCTCTCTCATGTAATTCTCATGTAGTTACTGTGAGACTACCATTAGGAGTGACGGTCAGAGACTGTCTTGGATTTTGGACATAGTAAATGCCCTTGTTGTACTGTCAGGACTTGAAGGAGCGGGGGACACGCTGGCTGCTCTGTTGCCACCCTTGGGTACAGTGGCAACAGTGACACCCTTGGGTACCCTGGCAGTTTCCATACAGACCTCAGCTGCACAGCTTTCCCATGGAAAACAAGATCAAGCAGGGAGGCCAACTGCTTTGTTTTCTACCAGAGTACTTTTCAAAACTCCTAAGATGGGCTGGGGCTGTAGCTCAGTGGCATATGCAGCTGTCTAGCAAGCACAAGGTCCTGAGTTTGATTTCCGGTATCAAACAAACTAAACATAAAACTTGCAACAAAATGGGAACTCCTAAAGCCTATTTGATCTCTGACCTCCCAGCTGCTTTTCCACTTTGCCAGTCACAAGTATGTCAGCCACTTCCAGTTCGAATCAGAATGCAGATGAAAGTCTTAGGGTAAGGGAGACCCTGGGCAAATGAGCCTTGAAGATTAGGGAGTTTGTTGGGAAGAATTCTGAAAGAACAGCATCCCAGTGGGGCAGGGCAGTAGGAGACGGCTGCGGTCATGAGGGCTAAGCATGCATTTCCTGAGGCCTCTCACAGTATGGGCCTTAGCCATCCCAAATGGCAGCCTGGGCTGAGAGCAACACAGCTAGAAGGCAACATGAAAGCAACCCCTGGTTTTCCAAGACAGTCAGCATGTGGGACTGTTGAGAATGGGCAGAACCTTGCTGGGGTTTTTTGGATTGCCTATGAGCTTCGAGTGAGTCTAGACTGCAGTTAAGAGTGGTGCAGACATGGGGCACTTATGAAATGGCAGGCAATACACACAATAGGGCTACAAGGCCCATTTTTCTTCAAGGAGAGAGCACTGTACAGTGGTGAGGAGGGCAGTGTGGAGATTCAGCGAGCAGCCGTCCTCAGGACACCTCAGGTCATCAGCCTGGTGCTAACCAGATGGCACGCCGAAGGCTTTTGTGCTTTTTTTTCTTTTGTTTTTGGGACACATGTTTTGTTTGTGTTTACATTTAAAAATGGTTGTGGAAAAAATTTTAAAAATATATGACAGATTTAATGTGACCAGTGAAGCCTAAAATATTTATTATCTGGCTCTTTTTTTTATTATTTGGCTTTTTACAGTAGAAAACCTGCTAGCCTCATTAGACTCCTGAGGCTGGTAATCATGAGGAGAACACATAAGAGACAGACAATTAGGTTCAAATGTTTTAGAAGTGACTTTCATTATTACAATGTACTTGTATGTGTGCTCTACTTAGAGGCCTGCTGCTCCTCCCTCTGTAGGATGCAGGCAGTGAGCGTGTTAGCTGCCAAGACTTGCTCATGATACTAAACTATTGATACCTGTCAACTTCTTTCAATGCCAAGAGCAGGAAAACCAAATACAGCACAGTTTGGACATGATGTGAAGAGACAGATAGAACACTTAAAACAGGCCTGAAAGTCCTAGAAAAAGAACAGGGACAGAAAATAGTCAACTTGAAACATGTAAATGGATGAACCTGAAAAACTAATGGGATACAAGTGAATTAGTGAGTGAAATATACAGGAACAGTAATGGAAAATCATAATTTCAGAGTGAATTTGGAAGCCAGCATACATTAATTGCAAAATACATAATTAGAATTTTGGGATAGTTATGAGAGCAATACACACACACACACACACACACACACACGCACACGCACACGCACACACACACACACCACCACCACCACCACCATGTTGATTTTCCCACCGCTTTCCAGCTATGGACTAGGGCAAAGCCTGAGTTTCTTCACTTGCAGTTACTATCATGTCAAAAAATATTTAAGTTAAACGAGAAAAAACTTCACCAAAGCACGGGGCAGGAAGCCTGTTTTTCTCCTTCCACGCTAGCATGTTCCTTTATTTTTTATTCTTTCGTGGGATTGTACTTGCCGAGTGTGTTAGCCAATCCACAGACCAAAAAGAGACAAGCTAACTGATGGAGATGTGGACTTCTTGATGACAAAATCCAGGTCTTAGTTTGGCTCTGATCCTTAATATTTTTACATTGTTGGGGCTGAGGAGATAGCTCAGCAGCATAAGTGCCTGCCTGGCAAGTGCAAGGTCCTGAGTTCGATCCCTGATATCTATCTGTCTGTCTGTCTGTCTGTCTGTCTGTCTGTCTGTCTGTCTGTCTTCACATTGTTGGTACCAAGTGTCTGTGGAAAGAAGGCATATGTGAGGAGATAGCAAATATGGAGGATGAAGAGGGAAATGCTAGCAAGAGAAGATGAGTAGCACATTTCCAAAAAGGTCTTCAACTCAAGCTATTTACACTTCAATTGGTCCCTTTAATCATCTATGTTATTTATATGAATTAAATTAGCTGCATATATTACATAAGAAAACTGAGCAAGGGGAAATGACAAAAGCTTCTTCCCATAGTGGACAGATATATTTGCAATTGCATCCACTTGTGACGTATTGCTTGGCCCAAATTGCTTGTGGCAGGTGTGCAAGGTAACATCAGTAATGATAATTTTAAAGGATATAAACTTTGTGAGTGATGCATCTTATAAGTTTAACTTCATTTATATATTTAAATACTACGATACAGAAAGCAAAAAGTTTAGTGTTATATTTTTGGTTCTTTTTATGCCTATGAGAGTTGTGCTATAATTGGCAATACGGCCCACTGAGTTTTCTTATGTATGAGATTATGAGTGTTAGTGTTATGCATGACAGTCTAGCTAACTAGAGAGTTGGTGGGTATAGACAACTGATTTTCCAAGATTAATTTTACTGTAGAAAGTACAGTTAATTAAGATCTATCATTTTAACCATTTTTACATACATAGTTCAGTGGCATTAAGTACATTCACAGTGATGAAATGAGTCCTTACTTGAACAATCCAAGGAACAGTTTCCTCACCTTTCCACCTACTTTCCATCCATGATCCACAGATTGTCTAAGGGAAAAATAAATCCCAATAGTTCCATAATGGCCCCAGAAGGCATTTCAAATGACTGTTATACATTGGCTATATGTGATATGCTGACTATATATCATATAACCTATGATCAATTAATATAAACATGAAATTCAGTTTGTTTGACTAACATTTTCTACTCACAGTTTTTCTTTTTTATTTTTTAAAGAGAACACAAAATAGTAATAAAAACAAAAATTACAAATAATACAGAATTTCACTAAGCAAAATAATACGAATTCAACAGTATTTCTTGTATTGCATTGTGTTATATCTTCAAACTAGTTGTTCAAATTACCAGATACGCTCATGCAAAATTGCAAAACGAAAGAGAAAGTTATAAAGAATTAATAAGAGAAAAAAAGGGGGAAAGTGGAAAAAGAAGACAAAAAATTAAGCATTAACTGCTCCTTTCCATATATCAGCAGAAATTCATAGTATAATTATCCAAACATTCCTGCTTGCATACATAAATTTATGTGTTTCCTCCATTCCCTCTCTTGTCATTTTCCTCATCTCAGTAATTCTTTCTTTTTGAACAAGTTCATTTCCTTTTCACAGTATCTATTGTATCTTTCAGATTTTATTTACTCTTTTGGGTTCTTACACTAAGGAGACAATACAAAGATTGGACATATGGGTCTGATTTATTTTAAGTAAGAGTATGGTCTCTAGTTGTATCCATTTGCTGATAAAAGCCTCAAATTTATCCTTTTTACAGCTGAACAATACTCCATTGTGTAAAAGTACCACATCTTCTTTATTCATTCCTCAGCTTATGGGCATTTGGGTTACTTCCAAGATTTAGCTATGACAAATTTTGCTGCTATAAACATGGGTACACATAAATCACTGAGGTATGATACTTCCATTCTTCTACAAAAATATCCAGGAAGAAGATAACTGGATTGAATGGGACCTCGAATCCTAGCTTTTTGAGAAATCTCCACACTGATTTCCATAGTGGTTGTACCAGTCTATCTTCCCACCAACAGTGGAGAAGGGTTCCTTTTTCCCCACACCCTCTCCATCATTTGTTATTGGTTGACTTGTTGATTATAGCCATTCTTTCTGTGGTGAGATGGAATCTCAGTGTTGCTTTAATTTGCATTTCTTAAATGACCAATGACACTGAACATTTTAAAAATATATTTATTTATCATTTGTATTTCTTCATCTGAGGAGTGCATATTTATCTCAGATGGCCACTTTTGGATTAGGTCTTTGAATTTTGGATGATTGATTTTTTTAATTGTTCATATATTCTAGATAGAAGATCTTTGTCAGAGGGGCAGTTGGATATATGTTTTCCCCCAGTTTGTGGGT